GTCGTTTCAGGAAAATCTCTACCAATGTTAGGCATCTAGTGACTGACATTATGCTACTTCCTTTTAATAATTTCTCTCACCTACAATAGCGATAAAATGTGTTAAAGATATGACTAAAATATTGTAATGGGAAAAAATTATATGAATACTTTTGCAAGCAACTGAATTTCAGTCAAATTGGGTTTCTGTCTTCCCTTCCTGTATAGATAACAAAAGAAAATAAAACCTAAATACTAGCTCAGATTATCTCAGATTAAGAGTAAGACTGAAATGTGATAAAATGTTTAAGTGCAACAAAAAATAATAAAAGCAATGCGGGGAAAAAGCTTCTTTTTTATCAGTAAAGTAGATGTTTATGGATATAAAGTGGATAAAGTTTGAACTATCAGTTAAAAAAATAAAAAAGCTAAAAGCTTGGCATCAAAAGATATTACTCTAAAAATCCTCATTTTAAAACCTGAAACATATAAAAAGAAAAAAATCATCCAGCACCTAAATAAAAACCTTCTTTTAAACAATCAACCAAACTATTTGTCAATATTATTATGAAAGAGAATTTTTTTCCTTGAAGACAGAATACAAAGGAATTAGGGATGTTTCCAAAAAAACATTTTATTTTTTTTTTTCAGAATATATTGCTGGATTTTTCTGTGATGTAGATAAACAGAAGGAAAAATAGGAGCTGGCTACTGTTTGACTTTGTCATGAATCTGATAATCTTTTAAGACAATAGACTCCTTAAATAGAAATCAGCCGGCCCCTCTGCTCTTATCTTTTAGCTTAAAAATAGCAAAAAATAGGACGTTCTTTAGTGCAATGTAATATAACTGAGAGTGAAAAATCATGGTAACATAATAGTCAAAGAATCTCAAATTTAATCAAAAATTCCTTCCATAACTAAAACTGCAACAAAAAGTCTTGAACTTTCGATAGAGTTGAAATATTGGGATTTGATTTCAAACTGACATTTAAACAAAATATTTATTTTTTTCTGCTTGGACTACAACAATAATGGCCCTATATTTGAACTGAAATTAAATGGCTAATAAATGTAACATAAACAGCTGAACGGTATGTGAACTAATGTCCCACTGTTTGGGCTTTTTTCAACTTCTATTTTTGAACTTCTAAGATCTTGATGCTTTTCACTTTCATTTCACAAAGACAGTGTTGACCCAGACTTAAAATGTTAGTTTTAATATAGCTTTGCACTGTTGATGACTCCAGATACATTTATGAACATTAGCCAACAAAGCAAACTGGAGTCTAACCCAAACAAACTGGGATGAAAGGAGGCCTTTGATCCGTGGCCGACTGGAGTGACTTCAGCACTTCAGCTCGATTGTTTTCAGCTGAGGTTTCTCTGGGTGGCTTCACTTCAAGCTGCAAGCCAAACTGCCAGAGTGGGATTAACAGAAGGATTTAAGAACCGCAAAGTTGTTTCACGGAGAACTCTCAGTCTATTGGTTTCAGAGATGCTACATGTAGCCGTCCAAGTTATGATGATATAGCATGACAAAATCTCCAGCTTCACATCTTAGAGCTAAATGTCTTTGTCGTTGTTACCGACCTTCGAGCCCTGTCATTTCACACAATTACCAATGCCTACCAGAGGTTTACTCCGAGGCTACGGAAGGCCACATTCCATCTGATCATAGTTGTGTCTGACATTTCAAAGAGGATTATGAGAATGAAACGTGATAAAAACTATTTTCACGTGACCTCTGAGCACTTGACCTCTGATAGGGTAGAATAGCGAAGCCTGGCTCAGACCGTTCCTTTCCCAAAGCAGGCAGACAGGAGAAAAAGAAAAAAGAAAAGAGAGTAAGTAGAAAAGAAAGGGAAAATCAGATCAACAGCATACTTTGAAGATCAAAACAGGCACTGGAAATGAATGTGTTGTTTTATGCCAAAACATGAAATCATCAACTTTTCTTTAGCTTTTCAGCACCATTCTGAAGGATTCATACTATTTGCAGTATTTTTTGGCATTTTAGGTGACAGATCTATTGAAGATACTTGCTGCAGAATTTTGATTTGGAAAGAAGGTTTGGTTTGTTTTTCAGATTCTTCTTGCATACATAGATTAAGCTCACTCAGTTTGAATAGAAAGTATCTTTAAACTGTAATGCTACAGATTCGTAGGTGTGGACTTTGTCTGGGCCATTCTTCTCTTTTTTGGCGTTTCCCAAACTGTAAGGACTGGCCTTTATTTAGATCCACCCATCTTCTCTTTTCAATTTATACCCCTTCCCTTCCCTTCTTTGCTTAAGAAAAACACCCCCCATAGCATGATGTTGCCACCACCATGTTTCACAATGGGTATGGGAACTCCACGATGATGTAAAGTTTTATCTTTCTGATGCTGTTTTGAATGCTAATTGAAATATTACTTGTAAACTTAACTTTTTTTACATTTTTGTCAGAAAACCATGTGAAAGGTAGATGGACTCTCTCATGGCTTTCCTTCAACATGCTCTCCTTCTCGCATCTTCCTAGTAAAGTTAAGGTTGGTGCAGTGCAGGAGAAACAGTTTTACTGTTGACAGATCGTCCAAACTGAGCTGCAGGTCACCAGGAGCATCTTGGCGTTTTTATCTGATTAGCACTCCTTTGCCCAGATTGTCAGTTTTGATGAATAATGTGAGATACTTTTTACTTTTTAGTGTATGAATGAACAGTTTCTTGACATGTCGAAAAACAACACTCTTTTTAAACTTGACCTTGCGTTTATACAATATAATGCGTTATCCCTTATCTGTTTGCTATATTTCATTACAATTGCGTTGATTTATTTTTTAATGTATAAATTAACCTTTTTAAATTAGATGCAGTGGATTTTATTCATATTTTATTCAGGGGTTTCCGATTAAAAGGAATTCCAGCATATGTTCTTTCAACCTTTTCGATTTTTATTCCTAAGAAACTGCATAAAATCATGTATCATTTTCTTTCCAACACCCAGGAATGCCCCACTTTGTGCTTGTCTATCACATGTAATTCCAGTAACCACTCAGATGTTTGTTGTATAGTAAAAAAACTGGAAAAAAAAGATCACGAATTATGAATAATTTACCAAGAAACTGTAATCCAGGAAACACATTTGGGAACTTAAAGCATTCGAAATCCCAGATTAATAAAAAAAAAAAAATTGTGGAAAAATAACCACCACATGCCCCCATACTCCCTCTCTCTCTGTCTTAAACACCCTCACCAGCCCCCTCACTATTAATATATTATTGTGTATTTGTTACTTGTGGCCAACATAAATAGCTTTATGTGCTTGAGCATGTTGACAAAGCAGCCACATGGCTCATTGGCGGCTGATGGATGGCTGTGTGCGCCTTTCTAATTATTAGTACACATAAAAGGATGCAGTTATTTCCAGACCAGGCCCCAACCAGAGGGGTCAGCGGGTAAATACAGAGCCATCAGTCTGCGACTATATCACTCAATCTTGATGTATGAGCACAGAGGTACAAATTAAAGGCACAGTGACCTTGTTGGGGGTACCACACTCAACAGGACGCCATTTGGGCTAATTCTGTGTATAAGCTTCAAACAATAAGCCACTATAACATGGGGAGTAATTACTTTGTACACACAGAAACACACTCACATCTGGACTTAGGCTCCCAAAGGAAGTTAATATATTTAAAAAACAGAGGCCAACTATAATAGATGGGCAGAATCTAGTTCGTATGTAAAGCTAGAACAAGTGGATTGCGCGTACATGCTTTAACTAACTGCAGTTCATGAACTTTTAAGACAAGTGAAACAAAAGTAAAACATTTTCAATGCCGAACCATTTACCATCAACTCTGGCAAACTTTAGTCTAAATGCACCCCTCATAAAGGTCATAGGTTCTTTCAAAATCATCAATTTCTCAAAAATAATTAATCTGCTGAATGTCTGAAGTGGTGCAGAATAAAATAAGTAATTTTAAAGAAAAATACTTAGAATTTACAATTTGTTGGCAGTTTGATAAGTCCAAAATACATAGTATTTACTTCTGCTTATAATTCCAGCATTGAACTGCAAGGCCTCTACACCGATAGGAGAGGCAGGATAAGGTCATCTGTAATGGAGCTCAGGTGTTGCTAGATCCTATAGCTCTATAGCTCCAAGAAACGGATTCTTCTCAGTGATACATTTCTCAAGCCATAAAAACAAAAAAGGATTGAAGTAAAGGGGAACATTGGCCAAACTCTTGAGAGTTGTTGCCAACATAAGGAAGCAAAGGAACTCTGAAGTCTGAACTGTCTAATTCAAATGTTTGCTAATGCAGGCATTGCCATACCTAACAACCAACTGGTAAACAATACAATTGAAGCCTGGAACAAGAATGAGCCCAGACAAGTTAAACTTGTATCTATCTCCTCTAACTTTACTGATGACATAAGGGCCAGACTTCCGAAACCATATCTTTCTGCTGTAGCTTGACACACAGTGAGAAATGAGTTGCATCAAGCAGCTCAATTTGCTCTGCCTGCATGTGTTGTGGAGTGTATGCAATGAGCTTGGTCTGCTGCAACAGATCCGACATGAATGTCAGCTCTCAGCTCACATTGATATTGATTCTCAGGATGCAAAACTTGGAGAGACTCCCCTGCATGTTGGCAAAAAGAAAACATAAAAAATAAAATGTAAGACATTTCTGAATGTTTGCTGTTGGACAGAGATAGATAGGACAAATTTCCTTCGATACTTCTGAAACTTTTTTTTTTCAGTCTTTTAAAGGGGTTTAAATTTTTTAAATCAATGGGCTCAACAGTGATACAAGTGTAGAGCTTGTAATCAATAAACGGAGGCCTTAGTCCTCAACCAAACCATCCTGCCACATTTTCTCAATAAATACCACAAGTTCCAAAAATAAGACGAACTGGAATTAGTCGATCAGTCTCAAAGAAAACTATGAGGTATGAATCTGACTGACATCTCCTTACATTTTATTAATAAAACTAGATAACTTTTAGTGATAACAAAAATCAAAACTCAAGTACAAATATTTATAGCTTTATTGATATTTTATTCGTACAAGATGTACATTCATATTTTGTGAATCAAAAAGGGGTGGAAACAAAAACAGCTGTACGATGATCCATGTATAGGCATGCTTGCATATGAAATGAAAATCCTTTGAATGGGTACAACAAATTCCATGGAGAATTGTTTAAGTTCAACCATCCCTGAAATCTTTGTAAACTCAGACACGCTACATTACCTTTTATTTTATTTTTTACGCTTTTTTTTTCTTTTTCTTTTTTTAGGCAAACGATGCACTACGGCCACACCTCCTAATTCAAATTAAACACTTAAAAAAAAACATTACAAAAATAAATGCAAAGCCATGTAAAAATGTACACTTGTATTTCATCCATAAAACTTTCAGACAAAATAATAAATAAAATAAAACACTCATAGGTTTAATTTAAAAATGGAGACATAGATAAACATTTTTAAATGGAGGTCTGATAACGTAGAAAATGTTTGGAGGTATACATAGACCTGAAAATGATCTACATATCTAGTGCTGCAGTGTTGCTTTGAATTAGATTGAATTGTTTTGTTTAAAATAAGGAAATCTAATCTAAATTATCTGGGAAGGACTGGTAAAAAATATCTGTTATTACATGCAAAAAGTCAGCTAATTGTACTGAACTGCCTGCTGATGTTGCAGACTTAATTTGTTCAAAATATTCAAAATCTCAAAGTAGGTTAGATTTTATGTCTTGTCTTTGCAGCATCCAAAATCTGTGCTCATGTCTTCCCAGACAGATGTGCCTGTTGAAACAAAACGTCAGAATACGTGTGAGCTTTGCGGGATATGGCACCTGATTAATTTTTCTTGATTGAAATAAAACATGCACTGCCGTTAAGAAATTAACTTTCCAACAGTGCATGGAAAACAAGGAAAGAGTTTTTTTTGTTTTTTTCTTTTTCTATCATCGAGGATTAACTGCTAGCTGTTGTAACTTTTTTTTTTGCTATTTACAGTATTGCACTTAAACTGCACACATCTGCATTTCAGTTTGACTGATGCTTGGTTCATATTTTCAGAATTACAAAAGCAAAAACAAAGAAATTCCCATTATACCCTTTGCTTATCGTGATGATATCAAAACCCTCCCTCCCCTCCCTCTTTAATTAGTAAAGTAGTTTCGCTTGTAGTGCCATTTGTAAACACCCTCTTACAAGACCTGAAGTGCAAAGGCTATCTTCACTTCTTTTACCTTAGTTACAACACAACAAGAAGGAAATGTAGTAAGAGAGAGCACGCCATGAGGAGGATTTCATTCCGTCACAAGTCCAGCATCCCACAAAAAAAGTCTCTCACTTCCCAAAGCAAAGCAAAACAAAAACAAACAGAGGGTTGTTTCTCTTGTTACAGCACAGGTCCACTAAAAGAGCAATGTTTTTTTGGGATGGAGACCTTTGACTTTAACAGGGCTGCTGAACGGCAGTGTTAAAAACAGCTGTTGAGAAGTTGCGTCAGGTGGGCGATGGGGGACCGGCCATGGTACGGTCCTCCATGAGAGCTCATGCACTCTGCAGCAGCAGCAAACACAGTGGTTGGAGACAAATATGGCCTTTTTTTTGTTTTTCTTCTTCAAACTACTGAGCGGGGTGGAAAGGTGAAAGCCATTCCAAAGCTTTGGTGAGATGATGTGTGGGCCTGCCTCCCCCCCCTCCCTAAAAAAAAGCTCGACCCCTCTGTTTGTGACGGCAGCCAGTGGCAGCGAGTCTCTGCTCTTGACCCTGCCAGTTTGCTTTGTTCTAACGTCCTCTGGTCTGACGGGGGGCCCCCGTCCTGGCCCTCAGACAGACATCCACATGTGTTTGTACGGTCCTTGGGATGTGATCTGTGCCTGGAGTGGACTGAGCCACTGGCCCCGCAGAAGTCCTGCCTGTTGGGCGAAAAGTAAAAGGTGATTTCACTGGTATTTAATTACCGTTCTCTACAAGTGGTTTGTTTTGGCAGCTGGTTTTGTGACAATTTTCCCTCCTCCTCCTTCTGCTTTATTTTCTTCCTCCACTCTTCCCTCCCCTCCCACTTTCCTCCTCCTCCTCTCCCACACACACTCTCTCTACCCCTTTCTCTCTGTATATGTTCCTCTCTTTCATTCTCACTCAGTGTTTTTGTTTAGTTTAGTATTTAACTGTGAGTGTCACAGCCCAGTTTCACAGGCCCAGTCTTGTGTGAGAGGTGATTATGGGCATCAGGCGAGCGGAGGGGCAGCCCGGTGGGGTCAGAGTCCCAGAGCCTCCGTGTGTTTTCTTGCCTTGAGTCGCAGGTCAGCGATGCTGGAGTTCTTGCTGTTGCTTTTGGCGGCCGCCGCCACTGCTGCTGCCGCTGAGGCGGAGTCGGCAAGGGAGGCAATAGGTAGTCCGAAAGGAGGGGGTGGGAACATCAGGTAGGGGGCGTGAGCGGCAAGGTGAGGATGTAGGTGGGGATGTGAATGGGTGACTCCGTCCAGCTGTAGCTGTGCTTGAACCTGCAGAGGAGCAAAATAGGGAGTTAGTCATCATGATTGTAAAAGGAGGCTAGGATTTAGGTTTCACAGTCTGACACTATTAAGCTCCCCCTCAAAGCTGTTGCTTACGGTGTGTTTTCAAAGAAAATAGCTGAGGGCCACGGTCGACACTTTAGCCCTTTCTTCGTGTCAGCTATTCTAAAAGTTAATGAATCATACATTGCTCCTAGAGACCATATCCAATTCAATCGCCAAATCAAAGTCTTTCCAAAACCCAGAACAGATCTCTTTAACTCCAAAATATACAGGCCTGTAATCCTGATTATGTATTTGATTGCATAAATAAACAACTTTTGCACTAAAAAGACATTTGGAGTTATAAATATTTATTCAGACATATCCCTGAGTTAAGCAGAAAAAAAAGGAAGCAGAAACCATAAGGAGCATAAGATATCAGTTTCACATTCTTGGCAATTATTTTATAAGTAGGTGAAAATTAAGCATCAGCATACTTCAGAGGGAGAGAACTGAGCCCTGTTGCCATTTCTCATGTGCTTCAAGCACCACAGGAAAAAAATGAAAGAAAGGGGGGGGTAACTAAAGTACTTCACGCTTTGGTCTCTAACCAAAATAGAATTGGTCAACGCAAAGTTTTTAACCTGAACTAAATATTTATTTTTCACTTTGCTTCCTTTCAGCTTGGCATACCAAATACCAAAAAATGACTTGAGCTAAAGGCAAATGAAAGGGAAAATGAGTCTGAACCGCAAATGCATTCTGCAAAGGCATCCCAAACAAAAGCAGCTGCAGACAAAAAAACGTACTTACTCAAATAAACACACAGCTTTGAGTACACTGCACTAGGAATAGGAAATTTCAATCAGTGACGGAGAAGGAAATTATTTGAACGCTACATTCTGATGATTGAGAAACCTCACATTGTTATTTATTCGGTTATATCAATCAACGTTTTAATATATATGATTAAAAATATCATGTCCTTTGTAGCAGCGACATAAGCACTGCTAAATTTAAACAAAGTAATTATCATTAAAACCAAAATGATTCATATCATAAAGAGATTAGGGTGATGGTAATGAGGCCTTCCAACCTAAAAGCCTCAGAAAACATCAAAGGATGGAATAGTCAAAATTGTAAAGGAAAAAAAAAATATAAAAAAAAACACATAAGAGTGAGTGTGTTTTTTATAAGACTGTTTTTCTATAAAATACAAATACATAAAAAGGAAATTTTTCTTTTACATTCTTATGGTATAATTTGAAAGATGTCCCGTTTGCAATCAGAAACACACACCTTGAATGAAAACAATTTTTTTATATAAAACAACTAGGGTCACAAAATATGTTTGAGCTATAGTGGATATAAATACAGTGGATGTTTTATTTTTTAAAGTTCTTATGTGTTGTCTAAAAATACTGATGGACATTTTAATACTTTTATATCACTATTGTATTTCTATAGATGCAATAAAATATGATGCCCGTATTTTAAGTTTATTTCGTCCACCCCTCCCATATACTTTAAACTACAATCCTGCTATAATTTTTGAAAACGAAACAAAAAACATGAGCCTTGAGTTTAACTCAAAAAGCATATAAGCAGATGAGTAACTGTTGGAAAGGGGGGAACCTTTCTAATCCACCTTTACTTTTGCAAACCTGCAGCTATCCACTGCATCTATGCCCACAGCCTGTTCCAGCCCCATTCAGCATGCCTCTCTCAGTATGCAGGCCTCCAAGCCTCCGCCCCTGCCAGCTTTCTCAATGCCAATATCCATCAGAGCCCACTCCATTCCCCCCGCTTTCATCATCTCCTTTTATGTTGTGCTCACGCCTGCCGCACTGTTGGCTTAATTAGGCACCTGCTTTTTCACTAGGGTCAAGCAGACAACACAGTAGCTGGTTCAGATATGAAACCAATACATTGCCGAATCAGATGAGTGGCCTCTACCTCTCTTCTGTCTCTCTATGAAAGGAGAGGGAAAGACGCTAAAGGTTGCACCAATATTTGATCCGTCTCTCTCCATTTCACATGAAGCAACTTTATATAGTTGCATATGAATTTATAAGTGTGAAAATTCTGACTCCAGTTCCATGAAAGCATGAGCTTCTGTAAGATTATTGCAACATGATAACCTTCTGTAAAAAGTGCAAAAATTAAAACAGAAACAAAAATATTTTTTAGCACTCTTTAAGATACAATACATTTGATACATAGAATTAAGCAAACCGCCCTCTCAGTTTGGCAAAAAGTATTATACCTTTTAGGCATTTTTGCTCTTTACAAAACAACACAAGCTAATATTAGTTTGATAATTATTCTTGCTACTGGCCCTGTTCCTCACAACTTAAAATGTTATTAAACAGACAAATTTGTCGTTCTTGTATTTCCAGGAAACATTAAAAAGCCTTATTTAAGCCATCTGACCAGCAGTGAGCAGCAACAGGTGTGGGAGGTGGAGCTGTGTTTTATCACATGCCCCACCAAATTGAATAAAACCCCAAATCCCCTCAGCTTTTCTAAGTAAAGAACTTTACGACAGTGCGTAGGAAAATTCTAGCGGTTTTGAAACTGTGACTTTTTGCAGACCTCAAAACCAGTAATTACCCTGTGCCTATTTCCATATTATCATACATGAACACGACACAAACTAAAAAAGAAATCCCAACAGTTACACTGACTTCAGAAACTGCAAAGTAAGAATTGCTCCTTAATTCATCTTATTCGCCCTCCGCTTACATTTCCCAAAGGATTCAGGTTTGAACCTTGAAAAACATGGCCTACCTGTTGAAAGGGCATTCGCAGGGCGCCCATATTGACATAGGGTGCTACTCTGCAAGCATCCAGGTGACTACCGCTGCCCAGAATCACACCTGGGGAGAAGGGAAAGATGTCTGTCAGGCAGCCAGACAGTTGTTGTTATGTGAGATGAGGAGATCACAGATTTTTTGCACATAAATATAAAAAAGAATTTATATAAAAACATGTATAAATACAATCTGAATATAAATACAATACATGAAGAATATGGCTGAAATAGTTGATAAGTGTTGAGGGCGATATTTACCTTTGTGCATTTGATTTTCTTGCTTTCGACATTTCGCCCTTCTGTTCTGGAACCAGACCTGCATTTAAAGGGGACAAAATAATGCAATTAGTAAAAGTAGAAAATAAAACTTCCAACATGTATTCCAAAAATATGTTAAAAGGATAATATATATGAAAAGGTTTACAGTTGACCTTAACAAAATGAAAGAAATGGTCAGGTGAAATTAACATGAAATATATTAATTATAAAAAGAAAATGAATTTCAAATGAACTAAAACAACAAAATAAATACTACAAAATTATGAAGGGATGCCACCACCAAAACAACAAATATCTGAATAATAATTTAAAAAAGAGAGAGAGAAAAAAAGGAATCACTGTGGTGATGTGTCGTTCATGTCATTAACCATCTCCCCAATTTGCAGCCTGCCTTTTAAAGCTGCGGGCGATATGCTGGGCCTGGATTGTTAATCGCCATCAACTTAATTTGCTTCGTTGAATAACATTATCTCCCCTCCCCTTCGACCCCCGCAATGATTATCATTTACAGATGCGAAATTAGTGTGTCGGTGGCGGACCTAACAGGAGGGGGGAATGAGGTGGGGGGGCAGCAGACCGGTGATGACTCACAGTCAGGGCGCCACTAGCCCGATTCCAGCTGCGTAAAGGAGCTGCGTCCCTGGGTATTACTGCAGCAACAGGGGGGCCAGTCAATAAACGGTGTCATTAGTGACAGAGGGGAGGGGGGGAAATGGCAAGAACATAAAACTCTATCTTGAAATAATGTATAAGCTTTTAAAAATGTCTATTATATTATATTAAATTATATTAATAACAATAACGCGTTCCATTTTGGACTGTGCTCTGTCTGTGTTTGATCTGCTCTTCAGCAATACAAACGTGTTTATCAGTATCCCAGGTGATTTTTTTTTTTTTTGCATCCACGCAACAGCCATCCCTCAGATAAATCAAGGCTAATATTAAGACGGGCCCCGGATCAATTCCAATTACGCGCCAGTATGTTAAGCAAAGTGAACTACACTGGTTCAGACAGTTATTTCTTCATTAAGGGCCACTCAATGATGCGCTTCACAAATACCCTAATCTCATTTCCTTTTTGATTTTTTATTAGAGACAGTGAATAATGACATTTAATTTAGCGGCGCGCCAGAAAAGCCAGAGATATTAGTCCTAACCGGATTACTGCCTGCTCCTCACCAAGCTCTCATAACTTTCAATTAGATTCATTGACAGCTGCTCGGAGCGCAGGTTCACAGCCTATACAGCGACCCCGCTGCACAAAAAAGGCTCTCTGAGATCTTGTTGGATTCTGGGCGCTTAGAATCCTGATTTGAGAGGGGAAAAAAAACAAAACACCAAGACTGCTAGGACTTTGCCCGCCGTAAATTATTCTAATGAACACACTTTATTAGCTGGGGTTGCAGTTTCACCCCCGCGTCGCGCTGTCAGCCGCAGTCCGACAGTGTTCAGCTCCAAAATGGTGCAGTCGCCCCGCTCATAAAGCTCTATGATGGGGCTTATTCATCTGATTAGATAGATCTGAACAGCAGCAGAGTTGCTTCCACAATCGAGTTATTTCTAATCTGTTTTTATGGGGACACTACATCAAAGCCGGTGGCAGATATTGCAAAGAAAATGAGGAGGGATACGAGTTGACATAAGAGCGCGTCCCTTGAAGCGGCCATTCAGGCTCTTCATTCATTTTAATCATTGTTGGGAAGGTTTTTTTTTTCCTTTTTTTTTTCTTTTTTTTAACCACCCCTTCCAACACTTTGCAGGCCTCTCGTTTCCTTTTCAGACTATAGGTTCTTATATCCCCGGTTATATATAGCGAATTACGCTGCTTTGTAATGGAAGCAAACTTACTATTAAGCTACTAATTTGAATAACATAGTACATCACAGAAAACAAACTAGTATATAAACTGCACGTTTGAATATTTATAAACTGTTCACTTTGCTATATAAATTGTGCGAATTAATCAATAATCCATTTTCCCTTAATTAGTTTTGGAGTAAATTATAAAAAAATAAAAAAAAAACAACAACAACATATACAGATCTGTTGCTTTTTTCTTTTGCACCATAAGGGCAGCATTCGTTTTTATTTCAAAAAAAGTATTTTTTTTTTATATGATAAAAGAAAATACTGAATTTTAATTTGGTCTCAACCACCTTAAAATGGTTTAAAAAAATGAACGATGGAAAAACGTCAACATGAATATGCCTTATGATGTCTTAATTGTGTTGAAATTAGCTCAAATAAATCCTTGTGATTTAGAAAAGATTTTACCCAAACCTATAGGCTTAAATGCTTACATTTTAATGTCAAAATGAAGAGAAGATCTTGGCAACCTTATTAGTAATAATAAAAGACTCCCATAGATGTTAAGTATCCTATATGAGGGCTTCATGTTGAAATGTTAATGCTGGAAATCTTCAATATAATCATGATGTTTTTTTTTGTTTGTTTTTTTATTCCACTGAGGAACATTTAAATAATACAATATAATTAGAAATTTTCTTAGTGAAAATAATATTGAAAATTTTTTTGAAATAAGTTTACATTTTTCATGTATCATTGACAATTAAATCAAATCAACTTCAGTTTTTTTTTTTTTTTTTTTCCAAATAAACTCTATGTATACTTGTGGTTGTTGCAAGATTCAATTACTGATGCAGCGCACAGAACAATTAACAGGAGCTTGAAACGATGAGCGCTTGGTGGGGAGGCTTACTTCTATAGGCAGCAGTCTGCAGAAATCTTTCCCGTTTTTTTTGTCACATGCATGGGGATTTTAAAAAGAAAAGAAAAGAAGAAAGAAAGGGTTGATTCTGCACCTGCACTCTGGCCTCTGACAGTCCAAGTCTCTGGCTCAACTCCTCTCTCATGAAAGCGTCCGGGTAGTGCGTCTCATCAAAGAGCCGCTCCAGCTCGTTGAGCTGCTCCAAGGTAAAGTTAGTGCGACTCCGCCGCTGCTTCAGTTTGCCCTGTGCGTCCTCGTCCTCGGACTTGACGTCCTCCTTTTTCTCTTTGCACTCGTATATCCCTGTTGGGAACAGTTTGGTGGTTAAAAAAAAGAGAAAAAAACCGAGTGGGTTTTATATCAAACACATAGATTGGTTTGCAATAAAACCCACACAGACTTTCATGCTGGGTCCAATATTCAGCCAAGATAATGGGGGCCATCCAGGGGCCTTAAGGGCCTGGCTGTTTGACACCATGCAGCACCAAAAAAAAAAAAAAAAAAAAAAAAACATGACCCAGTGTGGACTTTGAAGTAGACCTTTCAGCTTGGAAGTCTATATGTAAACCAGTATACAGCGAGATAAAAGACATTAAGTCAACAGAAAGAAGAATGAATACATCTGTAAAGTCACCACATATATATATATATATAGGCTATATATATATATATATATATATACTATACAACCCAACCTGAATTAATTATAGCTGCCTCAGTTTGCTTTCTTCTTTTACAGTTAAAATCACTGCTGTCCTATTATTAGTAACACGGCTGTCAGCAGTTTGGATTACAAATCTGCTTAATCCCAGTTTTTTGCATTTGTTGTTCTTTCCTGACGTGAATCCCATTAGTCCTCAAGCTGAATGCTGATAGATTTATATAAATGTTGATTAAGTCAATCACCCTGCTTTGATCCTTTTTGGCAAAGAGGTGCAGAGTAACATAGAGGAAAGCTGGGTCTCAAATGAGTAATAACTGTTAACTAAACGTTTAAAAGCAGTGGATACAGTCTGGCCTCTAATTCTGTTTTTAAATTGCATCTTTTTTTATAAATGCTAGAGAAAATATTGTTTTAAATGCGCGACAGTAAGTTTTGGCCTAACTGTTTAAATTATATTTTCAGTAGGTGCAGAACATTTAAATAAAAAAGGGATGGAAGAGATTGGAAGCATTAGGATTGATAAAGGCAATTCAATTGCAAGGGAAATTTATTATCATGATAAAATTACAGGGGAAGTTTTAAATGTTGGATTAGAGGATGTAAAATCTAACCGAAATCAAATTTTATGTATTTAATATATAAGAGAAAAAATAATAAAAAAAATACTACTACAATGATACTATTTGTTTTTTGTTTTTTTTTATATTTATGGCACAATATTCTAAACACCAATGTATCCAATGGACAACTTACTAAGTATTATCGAACGTTTATTTAGTTTGTAAAACATGACAATTTCTGAGAAAAATCATTGCTCTTATTATTATTATCTTTATAAAATACATTTTTGAAAACATTAAATAGTTAAAGTGCTGCTCAAACGAAAGGCCCGCCTCTTTATGTGCAATAATCTCCCAATAAACTGTTAACTTTTCTTTTTTTAATAGGGTCCATATCCACATTTAAATGCTTTTTACGCGTTAATTCGTGAATATAATTCCATTGGGGGGGAAAGGCTGATCTTGAGATATTTTCGGCAACATAATACTGATTTCTTTTTTTTTTCTATTAAAAAAAAATCTGAAAATAAGGGCTCACCATCTGTCGCTCTGGAAACATTAAAGTCCTTCAGTTTCTCCTTCTCCAGCTCCACGTGGTCCTTGTAGAGGTGCACGGGGCAGTGGTTGGTGTCCGTAATGTCCTGCAGGTTGGTCTCCGGGCTGCCCAGCTCCCGAGCCCGAGCCAAGCCGCTCTCCAAAACTTCCCTGTACGTGATGCTCTCTTTGCTGCTCTCCTTGCTCTTCTGATCGAAAGACTTCGACACGAATGCCGTAAGTTCTTCCATGGTTGCTCGCCTCTGTCGCTCAGTAGTGGTCCTGTTGGTTTGGTTTTTTTTTTTTTTTTTTTTCAGGGGGTGAAAAAAAAATCCACCGTAAAACGAATCTGTTGTTCTTCTTGCACAGCCGCTGCTGCTGCTGCTGCTGCTGACGGCTCTGCGCTCTTTTTCTGTGGAGGCTGACAGCGGCGACAGGATAGAAGGGGTGGAGAGGAGGTGAGATCACTCCTGCTGTTGTGGCTGTGTATTTGAGAGCTACACTATTTATACACAGCCACCTCAACCTAGCCCCCCCACCACACACCCACCCACCCACACCCACTCTTCCCTCCGATCTCTGTGTCTTGGGCAATTACAGGCCGCCTCTACTTTGCAGAATTCAACTTTCAGCAGCTTTTTTTTTTTTTTTTTTTACCCCTTTCTTTTTTCTTTTTTTTTTTCTTCTCTCACAAATCAATGATGGGACTGATGGAGGCGGTTAATTGAATTACGGGGTCATTAAAATGCTCACGGTGCGTCGCTCCTGCAGGAGGTAGTGTTATGGCTGTTACGTCTAATTAATTCTGCGAAAATGTAATCAACGTGATACGAGCGCAGCGGATTGTGGAGTTTACGCTTTATTTGGTAGCCTACTTTGTATGAAACCTATATCCGAATGGACTTTTTTTTTTTTTTTTTTTTTTGATAGTGAAGACAGAAAACCCGTAGATAGAAAATGAAAAATGTGACTTTTTATATTAGTAAATTTAAGCAGATGTTAAAAAAACGTGTTTATTTATTTTTTTAAGATTGATTTAAAAAAAAAAAATTTTTCATTCCAGGAAAAACATCTCAGCGCATTAAGATATGAAAAAAAATCTAATTAATTTTTAAGTTTTATATATTAATAGCTCTTTTGAGTATTTCCATCTAATCCTTTTTGGTTTTAAATGCGGTATAAGAAATCAATAAACACTTACAGTTGCGGGGGGGGGGGGGGGGGGGGTCTATTTTTAAGCTTTCTATGGGAATGGGGGAGCCCATAAAGACCTTAACACTATCTGCGTTGTTCATCAGTCCAGGGCGCACAGAAACACAAAAGGCCGAGAGAGCAGCGCGCTCCCCTGGGTCTGTCGCCCTGAGCGGCCCGCCGCGGTGAAACTATCATATCTCAGCTCTCTAATGACTCGGTGTGATGTCTCTCCATTTATCAGTGAGACCCGCTTGCACATCAGTGCAGGGCTGACGCACAAGACGAACGCACTCCCTCTCTCCCTCTCTCCCTCTCGCTCCCTTGTGCCATGAACTGCGTCTTTTGTCGCTAATAGACCTAAATCCTCTTTCAGACGCAAATCTGCGCTCCCCGGTCGTGTGCCGCGACATCATTCCCTACAATAGAAGTGGCGCTCACAGGAGGCGTTTAAACCGATATAATCCACGAATAGGGATCATTAATAATAATAATAAATACATTCTTTACTTTTCTCTGTTTTATATTCATTATATATTGCTTTTAAGACGAACTAAATTGCGTGCAAGATTTCCCGCTAATGTTTCCAAAAACGGAAGATGTGTTTATTTCTATAGACATTCTATAGACAACATAAGGATTTTAAAACTGCACTGACAGAAATTGTTAGAATTTAACCACTAAAACTGGTGTAAGAATTTACAAAGGGCAGACAAAGTAAATCTGCACATTCCAATACTTCTAACTTTGCTCATTTAGTAAACAAAACAAATTCAGTATTACTCATAAATACCTAAGAAATGGAAGTGTCAGCATATAAGACATGTTTGACGTTTCTAACCGACTGTATTGGAAATGTGCTAGTTTTTTTTTTTTACTTATTAAGAATTGGGAATAGTGCAAAGTGCTTTATTTTAGATTATTCATCATTATTTTAATTCTGTTTTGCTAAATCTTTAGAACACTAGTTTGTATTTTAGAAATCCAAATTAATTTTAATCTGTAATTAGATAGTTAAAAAAAATTAAAACTGTAAAAAAAGAAAGAATAATAATAGGTACTGCTTTAATACTTTATACATTTCTGGTCCAGATTTCTAAATTTAGAGGATGCTAATCATTTTTCATCTACCCTGATTTCAATTCAATCAAAGGGATGATTTTATCCATATTTCTTAGTTGAACTAATTTAATTTAAGAGCAAAAAGACAAAAGAATTTGTCAAGCTACAGCCATTTTTATAACATAACACAAAGAGAACTGGTTTTCCAACGAGCACAAAATGATATATATTCTAACAATGTAACATAAACCTTGTCCTTACAGCTAAAACATTCCCTCAGAGTTTAGAAGTTGAGTTTGGAGTTCGACAACCGCTTCTGCTGTCACTTCACTAGCCTAACTTTAATATAACCATTATTCTTGTCCCATCACATACATTATTCTCATATAACAGCTTTTTACTGTTAATAAGTTTAATTAACTATCTATGATACAACTCATATAATCCTATATTGGCCTTTCTTTTTTCTAAACTGTTACGACAAACAAGAATGCAGCTAATGCTTGCCTGGACCCAGATTTTCTGTCAAACGCCAATAAATCTGTTTAGTTAGTTGTTTTTTTAGCAAATGAATACATAATCTTATCAGAATGAACCAATTTTTTTACCGCAATAAACATTCAAACTAATATGGCTGGTTAAAAATCAATTGTTTGTACAGTGCACAGACGAATCTAAACATTGACAGTTTAACCATTTGCATACATTACATATTGGTCGACTGAAGTCAGTATTTCATGAGCATAAAATAAGAGGCTTTATCAGTTAAAATAAAATGAAATTAATAAAATAAAAATCCCTGAAGAGAATCTGACCTAGATAGTCTGCCTTTAGAATTAGCTCCTTCACCTAACTAGCAAAAGATGGATACAAGCAAAAGTTCTTGACCAATTCTTTCTGATAACACTTAACTTTTACTCAAAGACAAAAAAAAAGTGAATATTAATATAAAATAGGCTACAAAAGAAAAATGGATTTTTATAGTGTAGGTCTATTTATTTTGTCATTTCAACAGTTCATCCAACCAGTAACCTATACCTAATGTTATTAACTGCAACAGAATCTTTTCCCAAAAATACAAAATAAAACATGTTGCCAGAAGGCCTGTGAACTGCGACTGCGCCTGCCTGTTTAATATGAATGACCAACAAGGCGCCCAATTAAAAGAAGACAAGGCAGAGCAGCCCTGCACATCCCCTGTACCTCTTCACTATTTCACCAACACCACATTTTTATTTGCTAAAATACCTTTTTGCTTCTTATACCAGTGCTGTAGTCAACAGCTTTCTCAGCTTGTCTAAATATTTATTGCTATACAAACTCCGGTCTCACATGCAGAAGGGATTTGTCGCCCAATCAGGAGCAGCCTGGAGGAATATCAGAAGAGGGATGCTCCTTACTGTACATCAGCAGTGCTGTTGCTACAGTTTACCCCCCCACCCCCCACTAGAAAACCTCTTAAAGGGACCTCAGTCACATTTCTCCTCACTGTTAACTTCTGTCTAATTCCAAAGCCCCACCCTTTTTGCTACATAATTCTGAACATGTTTGATTAATTTACTCGTTAACATTCTTACTGACACTTTTAACATTTATGTATCATCCTATATACATTTTCCTATCTTTTTAAAGGTAACATTAACAAAAAAAAAACCCAGAGGTTAATCTTTGAACTAACTTTTCCATGCAATTTGTTTTTATTTGCTTGAAATAATCTGAAATGTTTATTTACCTGCAGGTAGCTGCATGTCTTTTTTTTCTCTCCAAAATGAGACAAACACATTCTTATCTTGTATCCGTCTCGCTGATATCTCTTCATAAGTGGAATCTGTTTTTCTTTCTGCTTGTTAGGAACATTATCAAGACATTATCAGTTTGAAATAAGCCTGTGCCCGTGGAGGTGTGTATAAAGCAGAGGGGGGAGAAAGTGAAGAAATCACAGAGGATTATGGATTGTGTAGCCCCCAGCTGATCATACATCAGATTTACACATCTGGGCAGCGGTTTTAATATTGTAACAGCCAGACTTCAGAGCTGTGGGCAGCCTGTGGGATGGTTTGGTTCCCTAAAGTCTGTCAGGTTCCACATTTGAGAGGAGAGAACACAGAGAGGGTCAGGGCGGCCCCCATTTTTTTTTTCTTCTTTTTTTCGTTGTGTGCAAGGCATCACAGCTTCAACCTGTTTACCCTGCAGGACTAATCCCTCATTTGGGAAGAGCACAATTACCCTAAATGCAAATCTTTAATTCTGGTGGGGTGCAAATACTTTTTTCCCCAATTTATTTAAATTAGGGGATTAAAAAAATACTTAAATATAATCTACTGTCCTTATAATTATATACTTCAAATGTATTTGAAAGTAAAAGTCAGGGATTGAAAAAACATTTTTAAAAAATCTCTTTGAACCACAGTTGAATAAGCTCTTAATAGAAGACAGATGTTATAGTCCAAATGGTTGCCCCGAGAAAGGCTATAAGAGGATTTAAAAAAAAAAAAAACGTGACTTTCAAAAAGCAAATGCACAGCAAGATTCTAATTCAATTTCCACGAGCATGATAGTCTTTTCTTACATCTGCGCTTATCTCCAAATATCATCAAGCTTTGTTTTTTTTGTTTTTTGTTTTTTTTTCTGTAGGGACACGCAAATACCAAAATGAGAAAAAAGAAAGTAATAAAGTGGTTTACTTGAATTTGATTCAGCGATGCCGTACAGATGTGGACCTGAGCGGAGGGAGAAAATTGGATTCTTCCACTTGTAAGAAATAAAAATCTACCTTCTCCCATGAGGATACAGGATATTTGAACTTACTGCAGTGTTAATGATGGTGATCGTGTGTGTATGTGTGTTTATTAGAGTCCTCTGGTTTGTCTTCGGGTGTGAGGAACTCATGGTTGTTATATTGCCTGCTGCCTTCATTTGGGTCTTGTGTTTTTTGCAGAGCTGTACGGTCCATAGAGACTACAGGCTGTTGTGTGTTCAAAACTCTTGTCTGCCATCTAAATAAGGCTTTCGGGGCAAGAAAGGAGAAAAAAATCAACATGAAAATACCACAGTGTGATGAACATTAGCACACACTTAACTGGGCTGCTTTGGGAATATGCTGCTTCTCCATTTTGGATTGTTATTTTTCCATGTGTGCTCTCCAACTGCTATCTACCCACAGGGCAATGAGGCCTCTAGTTTGAGCAGGAGAAGGCATGAAATTGACAGCATACCCTTAAATGCAGTTCAGATTTGCATGG